CATCATCAAGAAAGAAAAGTGATTAGGCTTTATTGGTCAAATGTTTAAGATTCTGTGTGAACATGAAACATTTTATGTGTACAGAAAATGCTTTTACTCACACCTGTAATCCAGCACTTTGGGAGGCCAAGGCAGGTGGATCACCCGAGGTTGGGAGTTCAAGATCAGCTGGACCAACATGGAGAAACCCCGTCTCTACTAAAAATACAAAATTAACATGGCATGGTGGCACACGCCTATAATCCCAACTACTCAGGAGACAGAGGCAGAGGCAGGAGAATCGCTTGAACCTGGGAGGCAGAGGTTGTGGTGAGCTGATATTGCACAGTTGCACTCCAGCCTGGCAACAAGAATGAAACTCCATCTCGGAAAAAAAAAAAAAAAAAAAAAAGAAAGAAAGAAAGAAAGAGGCCAGGCGCGGTGGCTCACGCCTATAATCCCAGCACTTCGGGAGGCCGAGGCGGGTGGATCACAAGGTCAAGAGATCGAGACCATCCTGGTCACACGGTGAAACCCCGTCTCTACTAAAAAATACAAAAAATTAGCTGGGCATGGTGGCACGTGCCTGTAATCCCAGCTACTCAGGAGGCTGAGGCAGGAGAATTGCCTGAACCCAGGAGGTGGAGGTTGCGGTGAGCCGAGATCGCGCCATTGCACCCCAGCCTGGGTAACAAGAGCGAAACTCCGTCTCAAAAAAAAAAAAAAAAAAAAAAAGAAAGAAAATGCTGTATGCTTTTAGAGATATTCTTTTATTAGCATTTAAAGTATTCTGAATATCTCTTTAATTTCTCCTAGAGTTCTATAAATTAAAGTTAAATTAAAGAACAATGTGTTGATTGAAAGCATAAGATTTATTAGCCATTATAAAGAAGATAATATTATGAAAATGGCAAAAAGGCAACATGTTAATCACTTCCCAGTTACATGGAAAAAATTAGTGTTTTTTTTTTTTGCTCATCATTTTTCAGACAGGCAGCACACAGGCAGGGGTCTTGCTGATCTAATGGCTTCAGCCTCTCCTTTAAAGGAAAGGAGAGATTTTTTTCTAGCCAATCAGAGGCAAAATCTTGGCCTTAAACTAATGGTTTGTGTTTCCCATTATTAGTGGTAAACCACAACTATAATTCTGGAGTTCCCTAGGTTGTTACCTTTTATTTCAGAAGTACTGTACAGCTTCCAAATCAAAATTAAATTTTACTGTACAGCTTCCAAATCAAAATTAAATTTATCTTTAACTTAAATATCTGCTATTCAAAAAGAATGGAGCCCATTTAGTTCTATGGGGATCAGGTTTCACAAAATCAGACACCCCCATCATAAAACTACAAAAATATGTAGAGATAAATAAGTAAAATTTAAATGTAAAAAAGCTATTATGATGGGACTAGAGTTTGTGCCACATATACCATCAAATAATTAAATCATATGTAAAAATAAGAATAAACCTTAGGTTTACCCTTACAGTTGAAGTAAGTTTTGTGGATCATACTCTGTCTCTTCAGCCCCTTTAACATGTCTGCCACTTCTCTATGAACATATATTACCACCCAGTTCACCCCTCACTACACACACACACACACACACACACACACACACACACACACACACACTAGTTTTAGTCCTCAAAAAAAAGAGTCCAGGGGCAGGCATTGTTTTCTCCTACCTTGCTCTGCACTTGGGATATCAAAAACCCAAGCCCAAGCCCAGGATCCATTATTCTCTTCTTCTACTCATGGTAAATCTTCCTACATTTCATAAGTATTTAATGAGCATTTACTATGTGCCACACACATTTCTAGCTGTGGGAAATAAACAAGAGCCAAACTAGACACACTCTTCATTCTTTCTGATATTATAGTTAACTAAAGGGGACAGATATTAATCAAATAGTGAAATCTATATCAATGTGGACCAACAGTGTTGATTATGAATGAGAGAGTTATAGGCCACATGAGATTACAAAACAGAGAATCTGACCAAGTCAGAGAAGACCAAGAAGGCTGCTCTAGGATGTGACATTTAAATTGGGATGCAGAGAAAGGGGAGTCACTAACAAGGCAGGGAGGGGAAGGAGGAGCACTCTATGATGAAGCTCAAGTGAAATTTCAACTGGGAGTTGAGGTTGAGTAAGTCCTGCCATTTAATTAAGTAGAAGGTTTTCTGTTCTTTTTTTATCACATATTCATTCATTTATTGATTTAATTAATAAAATCTTTGTGGCTTTGTTAAGGCAGCAGAGGTATCAAGAATGAGAAGTAAATATGACATCAAAAGCACAAGCAATGAAAGCAAAATTAGACAAATGGGACAACATCAAATTTAAATACGTCTGTGCCTCAAAAGAATCAACAGAATAACAAAAATCAACCTACGGAATGGGAGAATATATTTTCAAATCACATTTCTGATAAGAGGTCATTGTGAGTTACCTCTGGGACCATTTCTTGGTCTCTCTTGAAGCCTCCTTTTTTTCCCTTCTTTCTTCTTTGTGAGTGAGATTTCATCCCTCTGTTTTTTCTCCATACTCTCTTTATCAGGGATCTCATTTATTCTCAAGGTATCTGCCATCATCTCTGCAGAGAAATTCTAAAGACACATGTCTCTTCTAATTACTTTTCTAACATTTTTCACCACATACCAAACATTTCATTCATTCAACCAATATTTACTGAGCACCTACTATGTGCCAGGCATTGTTCTAGGTGGTGGGGATACGAGTAGTAAGCAAGATCAGCCTTCTTACAGAGGAGCCAGTCAAAACAAACATATACATAGTTTATACAATTTCATGTAGTGATGCTATTCTGAGAAGGGAAAAGGTAAATACAATTTAGGAACAATTGCGGGAAGAAGAGGGTGATTTTCTTTTTCTTTTTCCCCCAAAGCATGGTTTCCTGCCTCCTAGTACCTATCTCTTCTAAAGGTAGCATTTTCTCCCATCTTTGATCCTTGATTCCTCCAGTTTTTATTTATTTATTTATTTTGCCAAATTCTATTACCTCTTCAAAGTGTCCATAAATGCATCTCCTCCTCACTTTTCTAGGATCCCACAGACGCCCATCGCCTCATGCCTAGGTGGCTGCAATGACTTCTTAACTGGTCTCCTTACTTCTAATCTCTATACACTTTTTCCCCTCACCCCCTTACACTTTCTAGCCTGTGTAGATTATTCTTCTTAGGTTGTCACTGCCCACGTTGCAGTGACTCCACTTGGAGTTCCAGGACTACAGTGAGGTGTCCTGAAAAAATACCTGGGCTTTAGAGTCAGGCAGCTTGGAATAGATAGTCTGTGTGTGCCTCAGGTTCCTCTCTGTAAAATGCAGATGGTAATTCTCGGCCCATGAGAGGTCGTGAGAGGGAAATGAGAAGAGGTGTGGGAAGCACCAGTCCAATTCCTGGCTGGGGGACTCTCACAATGGAGACAGCGTCTGACTCTTGGTGAGTCAAGATGGTCCATCGCTCTCTTGTTGCAATCTTTAAGAATGTATTTGGTGATGAACTGCCGTGTTAATATTATTTTTCTTATCTATCCAACTAGTTTGACAATTCTTTTAGGAAAGTTGAGGCTTTTCTACTCAAAACCTCAGGGAATTCTGCACATAGTAGGCATTCTGGACTGCCTTCATGATTGGGCAAGTTGGGTCTGCATCAGAGTGCTTGGCTGGGGCAGCAAGTTGGGCTGAAAGGCAGCCTGCATTCTGCTGAGGCTGGCACCTGCAGCTGTGCCCACTGAGGCAGGGTGGAGGCCCGGGGGGTGCAGGATGTAGGTGTTCATGCTCTCCTCTCAAGTTGGAGCTGAAATTTCAACCCTAAGAAGACCTCCCTGACACCTCCCTGTGTCCACTTCTCTTTGGTGACACACAGAGTTGTTGCTAATCATCAGTCTGTACGTCTCTCTCCTAGTCAGGCTGTGCTTCCTAAGGGCCAGTTAATTCAGGTACCTGGTACTTAGAAAAACGTTCAATAATGGTTACGGAATGCAAGATGACTTTCAAGGAAAGTTTGAATGAGAGGCAGAAAAAGTACAGCATTAGGACAAAGTTACACATAAAATTTAGAAGGGAGACTTGAAGTGGGAGGAGTGCAGAGGCTATGAGTCCCAGTTACTACTCCGAGTATAACCATTAAAATGCTAGCTCAATCATAAGGTACAAAAGACCTACAAAGCGGAATCTTCACATCCATGCATGACTACTGACTTTGTTATAATCTGTTACTTTTTTATTTTTAAACTTACTATTTTATTTATACTCACATATCGAAAATGGTTATACTATCATGTTTACATACATACTAATATTGGAAACAGAATTCAGTAACAAATTACATTTAAACTTTATAAAGCACACACAAACATTAAAACACTGATTGGTTATAGAAAGCAGAGTCTGAGGAAAAACCGTTAGCTATAGTTTTCATTTTCATTAAAGAGCAGCACCCTCAAACCGATCAGTAATAGTCATCTAGACCGCAAAGTAATAAGTACAAAGGAAAGCTAGTGATTGTACTGATTTTATTACTTTTAGTAAGCCATTTTATGTTCCTCACGCTCAGTGTGAAGAAACAAAACATAATCTGAAGGAAAATAGGTCATTATTATTCATAATAAGAAATCTGCTTCATTCTGCAGGCCTGGGCAGATTGTACATTAAGGAGCACTTAATGGCTCAAGTGGACCAACATACCAGTTTGATTTTGATCCACGGAATAGAATCGCATCCATATTTGGTGGCTGGACTAACTCCATGGGAGCTGTGACAGATTGAGCCATTTTTGTGGGATTCCCAGATCTCACTAAATAAGAAAAGACCCTACACCGGAAAATATAACAATCAATCTGTCCATAAATGATATCTATATGCTCGCTCTTCAGTATAAGTTAGAAAAAGGGGTCCTTTCTTGAGCACACGCATTGTGGTCTAAAGTATTGTGGTCTAAAGATTGCTGGATTGATATTGTGTTATAATAAAGATAAGGTACACATTGAAACCACTGTCCAATTAAGAAACTTCCACAACTTGTCTCAATTCTTCAAATAACAGAGCAAGTTTCTTTTCTAGGCTGACAGTTAGTCCTGTATTGGCATGGCTGCGGCCTATGAAACTCACCACCAAATTTAACTGAATCACCTGGTAGGTGTAACAGTAACAGCTGATACTTTTATTTTTTGAAAGTCCAAGTTTGTTCCCTCGGTCTGTTGCAAGGGCAAAAGCAGGTAAGAAACCAGGTCTCAAAGCATGCTCTGGAGCAGGTGTCCCCAAACTTTTTATACAGGGGGCCAGTTCACTGTCCCTCAGACCGTTGGAGGGCCGCCACATACTGTGCTCCTCTCACTGACCACCAATGAAAGAGGTGCCCCTTCCTGAAGTGCGGTGGCGGGGGCCAGATAAATGGCCTCAGGGAGCCGCATGCGGCCCGTGGGCCGTAGTTTGGGGATGCCTGCAGTCTATAGCATTATCATGGGCCGCTTTAATAACAGGTCCTCCAACTCTATTTGACACAATAGCATGGAGCCCTTCAACACTTGGTAACGTTTTATACATGAATCCCTTTAAAGTCATCCTCCATGATGAACCCCTTTCTCTTGCAGGATCAATTTCCATTCTGGGCTGCCCAGATCTTTTCCCCGTCACTTCAGGGACAGTTTCAAAGACCACAGTCTGGTTTTATGCTGGGTATATGGCAAATGCAAAGAATTGGCCCTCTATTGGGGAAAGGAAGCTGCCCTTTCTACCACTGTTTTATAGGCTGAGGGAGCTCATGTTAGACCAAGACTTCATAATCTTTCAGATAACAGATCTCAATTTTGCCGTGGTTTTGAGGTCCCGAACCAAAATTTCACTGGGTGTTCTACCAAATCACAATCTCTGAGTCTCGCCTCTCATATGATTCCCATAACAGAAAGTTTTGGTGGAAGTTCTATTAAGCAATGAAACCACAACCAATCAAGAAATCACAGGGAAAGATAAAGCAAAGTCTAGCTTTCCATTAACCAGGACAGTCAGCTTCTGTAAAATGGAGTGTCAACACTGCACATTCTGTCCTAGGCCAACCATTGTCTCCTTCTTGGAACTCACCAGATCTTACTGTTCTTGGGTGTAATGGATTAACTTTCTACACTAGCTTTGAGGAATACATGATAGGAATTATATCAGTGACAGACTAATATTTAGGCAGGAAAAAGTAATCACCGTGCAGAAATATCCTGGTATGTAAAGCAGACTAGACACACTCTAAATCAAAGCCCTGCCAAGAGAATTCCGCGAACTAAAAAAGACTCCATGCCAGAAGCAGAAGCCAGCGCTGCAGAGGTTATAATTTCTTTCTCTGCGTTGTGTCCTCCGCATTGTGCTCATATACGAGAAGGAAACTGAGATAGTAATTGGGCCATTTCTTTTCTTGATTTAATTTTACAAAACTTGAGCCACAAGGTATCAATTCTGAGGCCCTAATTAGTTTACTGGCAATAAAGTCCACATCCAGCATAATCCTTAAAATATAAGCTGCAGCCCTTACCAGTCCCGCTGTTTGCTGATGTTTCTCACCCAGCACAATGTCAAAGTGAACACCTCGCCGGGAGCAGAGGTATCTGGGACACTGTAAAAAGACGACTTTGAGGTTAAGGCACGGTATTTAAGGTTCTGCTACAAATGCTGTTTTAAACAAATCACAGTTCAACTACAACGGTATAATAATGCAAAAAACAGTATCTGCTATGAAGAAAGTGCAGTGGTCTGAGAACTAGAAAAAGCAGTGAAATCCAAGGCCTTGCTTTACATGTCAGAGCAGCTATCTCGGCCTTCTGGAGGTGTGACTTTCCTATACACAGGAGCAAGTTGAAAACTGCCCTGTGTGGCTTTATTCTCCGTTCACCCCTGTAGCAAATGCCTTTTCTGTGAGGAGCTATGGGGCTGATGGGGAATCAGAGGTGGTTCCTCCTAAGTGGCATTTCTGAGTGGGTTCCAGGAGTTCAAAGCAACCTTAAGAGGCTGCTACCTGGGGGACAGCCAGGGCGTGAGATGAGAAAGTTGTACATTAACATTGCTGTGTGCCCATAACGTTGTATCTTTTATTAGATTAGACAACATATCTCACATGCCGGGTTGTTAAACAAATAAATATGCGTAAGGAAATTACAATCCACATAATTATATGAGTCGTTTTAACCACCACTCACCCTCAGAGTGATTAGATTTTCTTCTGCCTATGCCACTGCGGCCCAGTAGCTCTGTCACTGTCAATGCGGGTAGACTCCCCCTTACTCCGAAAAGCAAATCAGGAACAAATTGGGCCAATGAGAGTCACCATCAGGCCCAGAAACATGATAAAAACAGCGACTCAGAGGGGTCTCCAGACTGATGGGCGGGTGACCCTGTATTCCTGTTGGGCTGACAACCCTTCTAAGGCTTCGGGCTCCAGATGCTGGCAACAAGTCTCAGAGGCCGGGTGGGAGAGGGAGACGCGAGGCGACCCACGCAGAAAGAGGGCTGCCTCATCCCATGTCGGGACCCCCCAGCAGGCCGGGTTTCCTCAGGGGCCGAGCCTGGGGTCACGCAGGGGGACAGAGAGGGCTGCCCGGGGCTAGGGGTGGGGCAGAGGCGAGAACCCAGCGTACTCCCCGCACCCCGCCCCCGCGCCGCGAGTTTCCGCGCACGTGGCCGTGGGGCAGGCCTCGCCCTCGCCCCCAGCTGGGCCCGGCGCAGCCCCCTCCTCCGCGGCTCCCGGAGCGGCCAGCGAGCGCGGCGACGGGCGGGGGCGGGCCGCGAGCAGGGCTCCCTGGCCGCTTTCCAGGTCGGCGCACTAATACGGGCGATGAGGCTTCGCGGCTCCAGTCTGACTGACGCCGGCTGGGGCCGCCGCCGCCGCCGCTGCAGCCGCTGTCTCGGTCCCCGCCGCCGCCGGGCCCTGCAGGCGCTGGGCGCGCGCAGCCAGGCAGTGAGTGCGCGGCGCTAAGCGCGGGCGGCCGGGGACCCACCGCGGGGGCGGGGTGGGGGCGCCGGACCTGGGTGGGGGAGGGAGGAGCGGCACCGCGGGGACAGGTAAGACGCGCCCTCCCCGGCCGCGCGCTGCTTGTGTGCGTGCGTGTGAGCGCGTGGTGTGGAGCGCGAAGTTGTTGGTCCTCGGGCAGCCGGGGAGGCTCCCCCGCGTGTGGCTGGGCGCTCGCAGTCCCGGTGTTTCTCCGTGGAGCCTGTCTGGGGCGCGGTGGGCGCGGGGCCCGCGGGGACCGCTCCGGGGAGTTGGCGGCGGCGCCGCGCGTCTTCCTTGCGCCTGCATCCGCCCGCGCCGCGGGCCCCGGGACCTGTCAGGGGATGCTCGTCCCGCGGCGGGGGCGGCGGCGGGGCCGGGGCCGGGCCCGGGGCGTGGGCAGGGACCAGGACAGTCGCCTGAGGAGCCGCTTGCTGTAGCTGGAGAGCGGGGGCCGCGGACAGAGGGGGCGGCGGGGGTCGTCATTGTGACTCTTTGGGGGCCGCATTTAAACTCGCCAGGGCCGAGTTGGCCTCGCTGAGGCTTCTATTTCAGAGGCTTTTCGCTTTGTTTGCCTTAGAGGCATGCGAAGTGAGATAAAAAAAAAAAAAGTTAGGAATGTTCAAGTGTCTCCGGGCTCGCGCTTGGACTGCGTCGGAACCGGGTGTTTGTCTTTTCCTTGGCCCACCCCTCGGTGCCAGCTCTCCGCAGAGGGGAGGGGGCGAGGTGGGGCGCAGATACAGGAGACTGCCTGACGCCAGCTTTGTGATCGGAAGGAGGAGCTCGGGGAAAACATTTTTATGGATGGCTAATCGCTAAGAAGTCTTCCCGTTGCTATTGCTTCCTCCTCCCGCCCTTGACTGTGGACATTTGACATGATAGTTTGGAAATATTCCGTTGACTTCTTTTCTGGGCTGGCGTGGGTACTCCAGAGAACAAACCTGCAAATGATACAAATTGGTTTGGGGATAAAATTCTATGTAAATTCTTTACCCTGTAGTTCACAGTGAGATACCCACAGGGCACTGTGGCGTGCTTTGGATGGATCCAGTTTGCTAGCACCATTTCGGTGGCTTGCCAGATTTCTCGGATGGATGATTTTTTGGAAATGTAGGTTAGCAAGAAGCATGGAGGCTGACCGTAAAGTCGTGAGGCATTTAATAATGCTGCCTCCCAAGCAGTCACTGAGTGGAACGTTTGTGGCACCCGTCTGGGTAAGTGAAATGTGACTACTACAAGCATATCTCCTGCCTAAGCATTCCTCCAAGTGCGAGGGAATGCCTTTGGATGTTTACATTTTAAAAATAGTGATCTATATTTAAGAAGGCATTTAAAATAAAAGCCAAAGACATTCTCAACTCCAAATAGAAAAGATTCAATAAATGAGTTATCCTGTGTTTGTAGGAGACCATCAACACAATTTTAGACTGCTTTCAAGTTTGTGATTATCCAAGAAGGACGCTTCAGATAAGAAAATTATGTGGCGCTTTATAAACAACCTGCATTTTAAATATAAGATGAAAGAAATTTCAACTACTGTATCCCAAAAAACAACTTTTAGTGGTAATAGTCACCTTCATTGATGGCAAGACAACTATCTTTACCAGACAGCCTTCGGCCTCTTAATGTATTCCCACACAACCAACTCCCATTTTTATGCTTGACTGGTTATCTTTTGTCAGAGCTGTTTTATGCTTGAGCTCTGTGGTTTCAAACTATGCTTAAGAGAATGCCGACATACTCTTGATCTGAACAAACTCATTTCTATCAGTGCAGTGTTTATTAAAAATCAAAGATGTAGATAAATTTTAGGTTAAACTAAGTACTTTAGAATTACCACATCATTGTTATCAGTCTTTCAAAGTCAACATGGACTCTTTGGCTTTTTTCCTTTTAAAATCTTTTTTTAACTTATATATTTGTAGTTCATGAGTAATCAGAAAATACAGATGTCAACTCTTGCATCTCTGATTACCCAAGACGTGGGATGAGAAAGAAGAGTTTTGTATTGTTTTTTAAATGAAACAGTACGAAAGCTATTGATAAGTAATAAACAACTGGCACACTGTTTATCTTTACTAACATGTAGTCAGTTGGAGGGAAAAAAGTCTGTCCCTAAATTGTTCTATAAAGATGAAAATATTCAATTTCACTAGAAAATATTCAATCTGTTTTCCAAATAGTTTAATTCTGATTAATGAGAGTGCAATATGTGTTGTCAAACTTGAGGGACGGTGTTTGGAAGTGATCACTATAGCACTAAGGTAACCTGTTTCTATCTGACATTCTCTCTGTAATAAATAAGACAGCAGTTTCGTCATGTTCTGCTTTAATATGTGGGAAATAATCCTTATCCACAGGATATACTCTGATTTAACAGAAGGTAAATGCTATGAGAAAAACGTGGTTTTTCTGATTTGCCAAGCATACTATGCTAAATTTTAAAGCTTTAATGAAATTTAGTGCAGACTTAATGTATATTGTTTTGGACACTTAGGAATTAAAAAATGGGAAACTGTCCAGAATAAAACAGTAAATGTAGCAGTACGTTGAATACATGAATATTCTCAAATAGTTGTAATTCTAGGCTGTTGGATTTATATTTCCTTGGTTACTGTTGCTAGTGAGTTGAAAAGTTATTCTAAAGCAAAAAAAAAAGTACAAAAGATAAATGCATAAGTACTTACAATAGTGTGGGCATTTTCACAATGTTTTGTGTTATCCTGGTAAATGTCCTTGTCCTGAGTAAGGACATTGAAAAAATAAACGATTGTCCCCTGGTAATAAACTAACCTTTTAAAATAAATATTCCAGTAAATTACGTCTCTTAAGAAATTTGTCTTGACTAAAGCTGTTAGGATTTCAAGATATCTGTTAGCATTAGAAGTCATTATACCATGAAAATTGAATGTTCCTCTTGCCTGGTGGTCTTCATCCTGACACTTCCCACCCCAGAACCTCGAGGGACACCTCAGCCACACTTGTCTGAATTACACGCAGCTCTCCTTTGGTGTTGGCCTCCTTTTGTGTTAGGTTGATCCTGGACCACTTTCCCAGGCTTATCTTCCTGGTCTTTCCATGTTTTATGCTGCAGTTAAAATAGAGAATGCTAGTTTCCATGCAGACCCTACCTTTCCTCCCTTGCACACCTTTACCCACGCTGAGGCCTTCCCAGCTTCCCCACCTCCCACCAGATCCCCAAATGTCACTTCTTCATCTTGTATGCCCTGTTCAGGCGCTGCCTTCTTGGAACTTTCTGTGATGACCCTGGTCCCAGTTATGTCCTCCTTCAAGCACCTGTGATTCTTCGCCTTCTCCACTCTTGTCTTTTTTGTTTTGTATTAAGTTACTTATAGACGAATTTGTTTTTCCCCTCAGACCATCCTTACAAGATCCGGGAAGGAAGGGCTGTGTTTCATCTACCTTTTTTATTCCCTGAATGCTGACCACAGTGCCTTTTATAGTACAGTACTCTATCAATAATGAATACTTGACACATTTTTTCACCGAACCCATGGTCCCTTCTGAAATAAAATCTGTAAAAGCATTTCATCCATAGACTAAGTCTTAAAGATCCATCTTTCAAGAAGCCGGTGTTGAATCTGAGCTGAGGACTTGTTAAGAGGCCTGAAATCCCCTCAGCCCAAATGAGACCCTCCTTCTCCTGAATATTGTGGCTGAGCATTAACAATCAGGAAAGCTTCTATGATACTCTTATTGCATTAGCAATTTTCCATATCAGATTCACTAAATACACAATGGAAGCCATTTAGTAGGAAAACAGATTTTAATGTGATATGGCTACCACAATGAAACTCTAATGTGATTCCACAGAAAATTGCTAACACGATATGCTGATTCCTCCCCCACCACCATGGCCACATAAAAATTGATACTGTTTTTAGTGTATGTGTTTCAAACTATGCTCACAAAAGAAAAGCAGACTGCTATTGAGATGAGCTGCTGCTTTGTTCACGTTGGATGTATAAAGGGTCTTGTTAGCATAGCAGCCTTGTCAGAGAGCTGAAACTCCCTTCTGTGCCTTGGTCATTCTATTGTTGAATGGTACTAACCCCCATTTTTAAATACATCAAGTTCCGTTTAATGATCCAGTATTAAAGTTAATATGATGTGAATAAATAGAATTTGCTTACAAATATTATACCTGTATAATATATTAAGTTGTGCTGTTTTAATTGGGAAGCTCCAATCAACTCAAAACCCATTTTTCAAGAATCAAAATGACTCCAATATAAAATTTAAATTCAGAATTTAAAATCAAATGCATGAATTTTAAGAAATGGATTATAGCTGTGTGTGCACAAGGCAGTAACCCTTTAGAAGTCATAAGCACTGAAGAGATTTTGGTTCTTCCCCCTCATTCCCCAGACAATATTTAATTCAAAGAATATTTAACTCAAAGAATAATTGTAAAGGAGACCTACGTAGTCTGATTTTTTCCTGTAATGACAATTTCCAAGTCTTTTTTCGATATGAAATATCAAGATTTTCTCTCTCTGTGTCGTTCTTTGGTATTCTGATTAGCTGATGCCACTGGTGGGGATTAATTTTATGTGAAATTCCCTTTGGGGAAATTTAATACCTAATATCTGATCACTTCCGTTTCTTTTTCATATTTTTAATTCTGAGGGACTATAAAAAGAAAATGTGTACGAAATCCTGAGGAGAGTTTAGTGCTGCAGTTGTGAAAAGCAATCTTCAGTTTACAAACACTGGGAGTGCCAAGGATGACCATTCATTCCAGGACTCTGTTTGCTAGTTTTCTGTCGCTGAACAATGGAATCTGGATAGCACACATGTGGTCTTGGGCCACTGAAATGTGTTGGTGACATTGGGGATACTGAGTTGAGGATTCTGACAACTTAGAATTTCCAGGTAGTGGCAGTGTGAACACTGTGAGGTAGCAACATCCTGAACTCACTGACCCTAAGAGCATGTCCCTAATAGAT